AAATGCATTTCTTCCCCCAGAGGAATCGTCGAGTGTTTAATGGAAAAAATTAAATGTATAGTTCAGGAACTTTGCAGAAAAAAAGATAAGTTGTTTTTTTTCGCCTTCAACTTTTCCGCTCTTTGTTCTGCGTGTGACAGCTTTATATAAAGATGCTCTATTACCAGACGCCAACGTTTTGCATAAAGACTTCGGACCCACAGGCTGTCAGACCAAATAAGATTCTAAATGGAAATAATGACGCAGAGATATAAAAATGTAGCGGAGATGAACAAATATGTAACAATTTTCTCTGTTTTACAGGGCCAGAGATTTAAAGCTGAATTCCAGGAGGATGTTGAAAGAAACACCAACACATTCAAGTGTATTTATTAATGACCGCATTACATGTACACTATATTGTCAAAAGTATTGGGACGCCTTTACACTCACATGAACTTTAATGGCATCCCACTCTTAGTCCGTAGGGTTCAGTATTGGGTTGGCTCTGCCCTTTGCCACCATAACAGCTTCAACTCTTCTGGGAAGGCGTCCACAAGGTTTAGGAGTGTGTCTATGGAAATGTTGGACCATTTGTGAGGTCAGGTACTGATATTGGAGGAGAAGACCGGGCTCGCAGTCTCTGCTCTAATTCATCCCAAAGGTGTTCTATGGGGTTGAGGTCAGGACTCTGTGCAGGCCAGTCAAGTTCCTCCACCCCAAACTCCCCCCTCCATGTCTTTATGGACCTTGTTTTGTACACTGGTGCGCAGTCATGTTGGAACCGGTAGGGGCCATCCCCAAACTGTTCCCACAAAGTTGGGAGCATGAAATTGTCCAAAATGTCTTGTTATGCTGATGTCTTAAGAGTTCCCTTCACTCGAACTAAGGGGCCGAGCCCAACCTCTGAAAAACAACCCCACACCATAATCCCCCCTCCGCCAAACTTTACGCTTGGCACAATGCAGTCAGACAAGTACCGTTCTCCTGGCAACCGTCAAACCCAGACACGTCCATCGGATTACCAGACAGAGAAGCGAAATAATAGTAACAAAAATAATACATTTGGTGGCTTTCAAAAGACTAAAAGCTGTACATTGATCTTTTTCTATAGTCGCCGGGAGGATTGATGGTAATAAACCCTGGTACCTGTAATCCATTAAGGATAGTCACATTGCAAAGGTCTTCAGGCTCTGGGTAATATAGAACATTTCAGGCTCTTAAGATTCCGGATTATTTACTAATGCCTGTTAATGCATTCTGCTCGTCTCTTCGATAACCTTTAAAAAATTTGTTTCCACGATCCCTGTTTTGCTTTAACATATGGAAAGACACAAGGTCACTGGCGGGTCAACCTGAAGCTCACCCATTCTTTATGGCTCATTATATCTAATTGGTCAGGACGAGTTGTGACCATCATAAGGGATGTCTCTGTGAAGGATCTCATTAATCCAGGTCATGGTATATCTGTAAAAAAAATACATCAAGGCAACTGGACTTGCTGTATTTATTGACTTGAAGATGTTTTGTTGGTCATCGGACTAGCTTTTCTAAATTGCGTTTCTGAATTGCGAAAGCCATTCGGATGGTCAGCGTCACATCTTCAAGAAAAAAATACAGCAAGTCCAGTTGCCTTGATTTAAAGTTTTTTTTTTTTTTTACAGATACTTAATAAGGGATGTTATAAAGTTCTGTGCTGACTCTCCATTCACCCAACTCTACTCATTCCTTACATTCTGGCTTCGGATCCTCCATTAAAGTAGAAGCAAACTCTAACTAAACCACATTTTTTTGTTACAGTATTATAGATACAATGGACATTTTTCTAAAAATTAAATACTGTTGTCATTCACTTTATGTCTACATACACTTCAGTGATGGCCTGTGTGCCATTTGTAAAGGGACAGTCAACTCAGATGAAACCTTAAAATTACATTCAGTAACCTGAACTCTGAACAACAATGTATCTTATTTGTGTATCACTCGGCTGTAGATCCTCCAATCATCTCTGAATCGGTGCTGACACTGTCCTTCCTTCTGGAGGGGGGATACCTTTGTTCCCCATGGTCCCTGTGTGTGTTGAAGAGTAGTCACTGCTCCAAGCTTCCACCGGGATGGATTATAGACATGTGCGATTCGTTTCGTTCCGAATCGAAATTCGGACGAATTTTCAGAAATTCGGACATTCGGATGTATCCGAATTCCGAATTACAGACATAACGAATGCAAACGAATCCGAATTTCCATTTCCGAAATTCGGTAGCGGTAGTTCGAACGTTCGTTTCGTTTTCTGTTCTTATTCGTTTCTTATTCGTTTCGTTCGTTGGAGCAAAGTGACATTAGAGAAGGAGAAAAATATTTTTCCCCCCTCAAATGTCACTCTGCTGCAAACGAACGAACGAAAACGAATAAGAAACGAATAAGAACAGAAAACAAAACGAACGTTCGAACTAACGCTACTGAATTTCGTCCGAATCCGAATTCCGAATCCGAATTGACTTTCACACCCGGATCCCGAAAAACGAAATAACACAAATCCGAATTTAAAACGAAACTAAACTAAACAAATTTTTTGGCAGTGCACATGTCTAATGGATTACAATCTCAATACAAATTAGTAAACCTAAACCGGAGACTGTAGTCTATCCCGGGAGCGAGCTTGGAGCGGTGACTACATTACAACACACACAGGGACCATGGAGAACAAAAGTAGCCCCCCTCCAGAAGGAAGAACAGTGTCAGCACCAATTCAGAGATGATTTGAGGATCTACAGCCGAGTGATACACAAATAAGATACATTGTTCATAATTAAGGTACTTGAATGTATTTTTAAGGTTTAGTGTCACTTTAAGGTGGGTTTCTTGTTGGAGACAACATTGTGCCATGACTACTCAGGCACTCAATGTTCCACCTGTAGTCTCCAGTGGATGCTTGTGTGAATGAGTGACAGTGTAGGTGCACATTAGACATGTAAGCTGCGGAAGTATTCGGTTCGGTTTGGATGTTTCATTATTTTGGGATTCAGATACGACATTAGATTCGGTTTGGGTTTCGGATTTGGACGAAATCCGAATTTATGTTAGTTTCTGATGAGTTCACGAATATTCGTTGCAAATACCACAGAAAACCATATACAGATACTAATACTAAAGCTGATGGCATTTGGGATCCGAATTTCTGAATTGTATTCGGGAGCTCCCGAATGCCATTCGGGTCTGGGAGCCTCAGCTTTAGTAATATATGTAAATACAGTATGACTTCCAGACCCGAATGTCATTCAGAAGCTCCCGAATGCAATTCAGAAATTCGGATCCCGAATACCATTCGGGTCTGGAAGCCTCAGCTTTAGTACTATTGTATATACTGTATATGGCTCCCATGTTGCATAATGAAAATTCGCGTTGAGACCCATTTGGATGCACTAAACCCTAAAACACATCTGATTGGCCAGAAAAGTCACATGTCCGATTCAGTTAAGTTTTTGAACAAAATTCGTACGGGATCCGAAATTCGGAAACGGAAATCCGGATTTGGACACATTCGGATGCATTGGGATTCGGAAATTTGGATGTGTCCGAATTTCAGAAAATGCGTCCGAATTTTGATTCTGAATGAAACGAATCGCGCCTGTCAAATGCACATTTTGGAGACAGGGACAGAACGTTGTCACCCTATAACAGGAAGTGCCTGAACAAGGATCTTCATGGTAGGATCGGCAGGGGATTATTTTAATAGAAGCTGCAGATTTACCAAGAGTGAAAAATGCCTTTGGAAATGACAACAACATGTTAAAGATTGAGTTTACAAGCTGCTTCCTCAATTCTTGTCCCCCATGTCAGCGCTTTTGCCAATTGACAAAGATATCAAGAAGCTTTCCCGGGATGAAATAAATCCCCATAAAAATTTAGTAAAATCCCCAGCGGGTTAACAAAAAGCTGCAGGAAGCAGAAGAATAATATTACCCTTTGGAAATGATCCAAGGGGTTGAGCCGTTGCGTCATTCTGAGCTGCCTCTGGGGTAAAAATCCCCGGCATTGTGCTAACAGGCGGGAAGAGACTGCGGTGATGGATTTCCAACCTCGCCATCACTGCGCGGGTTCCTCGGCATCCATTTTTTTAATTTGCTTGACTCGGCAATCATAGCGTTTTCTATCTCGGGAAGACTCGCCCCCAGGGTACGATTCTCTCGCTCACCTTTATTTTTTTTTTCTTCTAAGCTTTGCAAACACGATAGTTCGGATGAAATACAACAGATGTGCTGCAGGGAAAAATTACAGACCTGAGAAATAGACGTTTTCTTTTCCCACCAGTAGAGTGATTTGCCTGGAAGGCGCCCTGCCAGAGCGGCATTACACGATAAAAGTCTTGCGCGCTGGTAAAGAAGCAACTTTTGCTTCTTACGCTTTGCCTTCGGGGCAGACGGGGAGGGAGGTCTAAGGAATATTCATAGTTGGAGATGTACCGTGTGCCATTCCCGTTTGTCCTTTTTTTCTAGGGTTTATTATTGCTGTCTGTGTACCCACGGAGGAGATTAGCCCGCTCTTCCAGTTCTGGCTGACACCCGCCATCTGGACTGGAAGTAACGGATAATCTCCCAAATGGGGACACAAAATATTGTGCAAGACTCAACAGAGGTTGTAACCGTTCCTTACTCTGATAATGATATGGATTCTATTGCTGTCTGTCTCATTAAGCAGAGCCACATTTAAAGCGGAACTCTGCGTGGACAATTCCCATTGACTGTTCACTAGCATCTAAAGGTCCAGCTCAAGGTCCAGCTACAGCAACATGGGAGCCATATACAGTATATACATATAATACTAAAGCTGAGGCTCCCAGACCTGAATGGCATTCGGGATCCGAATTTCCAAATTGCATTCGGGAGCTCCCCAATGCCATTCGGGTCTGGGAGCCTCAGCTTTAGTAACATATGTATATCGCTCCCAGACCCAAATGGCATTGGGGAGCTCCCGAATGCAATTCGGAAATTCAGATCCCGAATACCATTCGGGTCTAGGAGATTCAGCTGTAGTATTAACATCTGTATATGGTTTTCTGTGGTATTCGTAACAAATATTCGCTCGTAAACTTAACCCGAAACTAATGTAAATTCAGATTTCGTTCGAACCGAATTGAATTTCAGGCCCGAGCCCCGAAATATCCAAATAACCGAACCAAACTTTCCCGCAGCTTACACGTCTAGCATGTAACCAACTTCCTGTGTCAAGGACCCCCGGCATGCATCATCAAGCCACCCTGGGCTCCCAGGAGAATACTGTAGAAAGCAGCTTCACATTATTTTTACGGTTGGCCATTTCGGAGAATAAGAACGTTCTATGGCATTGCTTGACCAGACCTAAGATCGCTATGAAACAGAGGAATAAGAAGACGTCCCTTGAAATCACTGGACCAGATTTAAGATCGCTATGAAACAGAGGAATAAGAAGACGTCCCTTGAAATCACTGGACCAGATTTAAGATCATTATGAAACAGAGGAATAAGAATACGTCCCTTGAAATCATATGACCAGGCCTAAGATCATTATGAAACAGAGGAATAATTAGACGTCCCTTGAAATCATATGACCAGGCCTAAGATCATTATGAAACAGAGGAATAATTAACCGTCCCTTGAAATCATATGACCAGATGTAAGATCATTATGAAACAAAGGAATAAGAAGACGTCCCTTGAAATCATATGACCAGACCTAAGATCATTAAGAAAAAGTATGTACAAAGATTTAAAAAAATGCTAGGGCTCCAGAGGGTGGAGTTTAGGGTTCAATTGAGCAATAAAAGTTGTCTGTTTTCAATAAAAGAATGTTCAGTTGAATCTTCCGCAGCACTAGTCTTGATAGAGCTCCATCCTTGACCAATATAAGTTCATTTGTGAATGATACCCGTGTTCCTTTAGTCCATATGAACTAACCTCCAGAAGAAAGATTGTCTGAAGGTGAGGGTGCCTCTAGTAAGTGTCTATCTCTCTTTTATAGGTGTTTCTATTATTAGTAGAGTTTCTCAGAAAGGCTTAGTCCTGGCTATAAGAGAACTGTCAGGCATGATGAGGTTGATGAGAGCACAAAGGATATCAATGCTGCTTTGATATAGAAAAATACTATAAAAAACGAATGGAACGCCGGATAATACTTTTTCCCCACTTGGACTGCACATCAAATGCGTTTAATAAAGCTTTTTCTCTGACATGATGTTTGGATCTTTCGTAGACTTGATAATAATAATGGTCCAGCTCTTGGCAGCCTTAAAAGCTAAGAAGAAAGAGTCTCATCGCTGACATAGGCATCCTGATGGAACTAATGTACTATGCGTGTTTTTATTTGTGTTGACTACAGAAAATGGGGAAAAAAATAGAATTTCTACACGCTTCAAATTTATAGAACCATGTGTTGTGTATATATTTAATACATTGTGTGCACCTTTTTCTTCATTGTTACAATTTGTAGTTTTAAGATTCCAAAATATTTATACTTTTGTATTGTGAAAGGAAATTTGGGGTAAATTTATTTAAAAAAAACTAGTCATTTAACTGATGGCATGCAACTGGAGAAAGGCAAGTGAAAAGCGTGTGGCTATCGTTCAACCTTTTCTGGAGACCTGACATATACACTATATTACCAAAAGTATTGGGCCCCTCCCTCTCCAAATCATTGGATTCAGGTGTTCAGTGAAATTTCCTTGCTACTAAATATTCATTTGCTGCAGGGTATGCCACTGTTCATTTCTGATTTTGCTGCATGCGGGCAGTCAGAAGGAAATCAAGAGGTCACATGACTTCTAGAAAGAACTAAACCAAGTAAAGGGGGAGAAAAAAGAGGTCAGTTAACCTTACTGCAACCTTCCGTAAGCCATGGGCGGACATTGCTGAGCTTAAATGATGATTGGGGGTTGTGTGCTGTACAGCAGACAACACCATTATATAGCATGTGACTGGAAAATATGACAAAGCCAGCCAGGGAAATGCATTTTTTTTTTCATGCACAGAGGATTATATATTTTCTCATGTAAGCTTCATAGCAGTAATTTCAAATATGCACTTATAGAAAATACACTGTAATTTTTCCTTTACATGAGATCCGAGTGCCTCAAAACGTTAGTCTTGCGATTGCTGATGCTTTCAATAAATCTAGTTGTTGTCAGCTCAGCTGGATGTCTGAACAGAAAATTCCTAAGGTCACTGAATCATATACACAAAGGCAATTACGACTGGGTCCGTTTGGTAACATGCGATGGTTTCAATAGATAATGGCCAAGTGCACCTGGAAGATTAGGGAACGCCTCTCCTACATGGAGCCAACACACACAATTAGGCATGAGTATCAGTTCTTAGCGCTGGGTCTGCGGCACATCCAGCAGATTTGAAATTTGCGGCTCTTTGTAATCGTTGAACACTGACTCTGTGATCAGCAGATTTACAACGGCCAATTAAAAGATGGGTTCCTGGCATTTGGTTTGCCAGTGTGTGCTTAGCAGTTTACAGAGAGCTGAATTTTTTTTGCTATACTAAATACTGTAGCTCTATATTACTATGGGATGCAGTTTGGTGGACTAAATATTGTTATGTAACCCCCTTCCCTCCTCCCCATGTAAATAATTCAGAGATCTAACAGACCTTTTAAGGATTACCCTTTTTGTGTGTGTCAGCATAATCAGGGCCATCCCTATGATAAGGCAGCCTGATGCTGTTGCCTTAGGTGGCTTTTTTGGGGGTCTAGTGGGGGAGGCAATGGCCGCACATTGTTTGCAGTGTGCCCAACGCCCTCTTTTCAGACTAAGCGCTGGGAGGAGAGATGTGTACACTTCCTGCCCAGCTCTTAGCAACCTGGGACATCCTTGTTGACCTCCAGCTGAGCTCCTGGCAACCAGTGATTTCGCTGGTTGCCATGAGCTCGGTGGGATCCCTGCAAGATGCACATACTCCCCACCCCGGCCACTTCAGGTGGCAAAAATGCTAGGGCCACCCCTGAGCATAATTGAAGTTGCTGTTTATCTGCCCTTGCAGTGTTTTTTGTTGTTTTTTGTTATTTCACATTTATCTATATTTTCAAGGTTAAAAATACATTGTTGGGGTTTTTGTGTTTCAAGGTACATTTTTTTAAAAGAGGACAGCAGTGTACACTTGTTGCTGACACAGACAAAGCTGCCCTTTGTTTTCAGCACATCACCGCACACTTGAGCAGTGAAGAAGTGTGCATAGTATATATTTATTTCCCCTATTGCCATAGCTGCCATTAAAGTTAGGCAATCCTCTTACAGCAACATGATTGAGTCATTACCCCCTCTGAAAAGCCATGGTCATGGACCGAGAGTTGCTTGAGAGAGAGGAGGAGACCCGGCGGCATACCTTATCCCACCGGGTGAATGTCCCCTCCTCTCTCTGCCGGCATCCATCACCGAGATGGCCGCTGGCAGGTAACAGCTCATGACGCCATCATGTGCATGCACGATGACGTTACACGTGCGCAATGATGTCACGTGCATGCGCAATGACACCCTGCCTCGGGGCGCCTCTGAGTAGGGGGCAAGCAGGTTCTGCAGGGCAAAGCAGTGGTCGGGCCATATCATCTAGAGGCAGGGCACATCGGACTTTTTTTTAATCTTAGAGTGATGCTGTCCAGCCACAGCACATGCAGGAGGTAGCGGAGTGGCTGACAGATCCTTTTAGTTGTCTACAACTGCTGCTAATGTGCCCTCTTCTTCCTCCTTCGCCTCTGTTTCTGCTAATCCAGCCGAAGCCCCAGCAGAATCGTTCAATCACATGATCACTGACATGTTGCAGAAGGACGATTCTACTGATTGAAGAGAAGTAGAGTGCTTATGGAGAGGCAGAACAGCAGCAAGGGAAGATTTTGTCCATAGGGCTCTGCAGTGTGGGCCTTTTATAGCATATCTGCTGGTCTCAGTACCATTGAGGTCCTCAGTCTCTGCCTGCAGTGTATAAGTCATGGTAAAAGTACCATCTGTTTGGGAACCACATGCGTGAGGAAACACATGACTGAAACACCGAACTGAGAGGGACAAACCAGCAGAAAAAGGTCCCTACTTATCCTTCCCATCCCTTACTGTTCATCTCCCCCTTTCCCCTCCACCACAACATTCTCCTACTTGATCTGCACAACATCTGCAACCTCTAGTGATAGGGAGGGAAGTGTCACAAGGGGTTTCAGAAGATACATCATATCAGGCTGAAAAGAGGGTCATGGGGATGTGGAGTTTAAATAAAGGCTTACACTTCTGCATACTTCTCCTACTCCCACCCTGCTGTCTCTTTTCTTTGAGAAAGCTGGTTGGATGACTAGTGAAACGTCTTCAAGAAAAATACAGCAAGTCCAGTTGCCTTGATTTATTGTTTACAGATATACCATGACCTGAATGAACGAGCACTTCACAGACATCTGTGAAGGAAGTAGGACAGGGCATACCACTGGAGCTAGAGATGTTGCCACACCAGCGGTTTGATGGTAACAGTACAGTCTCCTGTACCCAAAGTCCTCTGGCACTTATAAATACAGTCTTATTTTATGCTAAAACCTTCCTCCCTCCCTCTACCTTTTATATTGTGGCATTACTAAGCTGTGCACATACTATCCAGCCACTGAACAATATTTGTGGCTGTTGTCTCTTTCATAATACACACTCATTTTTACTTCAAGATAAAACCTGACTTGTCTCTTTCTATTTTCTATCTATTCCAGTACTCGCGTTCTGTCCTGACACTAGACAATTTCCTCCAAACACGTGCCTGCATTCTATATTTTGAATATTATTGAAATACTTGGGTTTCCAGAGATAGGAGGGGGTTTGGGTAATGTGGGGCTGTGGTTTCAAATTAATCTGTGCACTCTTTTGACATTTTATTAAAATGTTGCTTAAGTCATAAAACAAAAATGTCATATTTGCTTCAGCATGCCATTTTAACATTTCTCATCCTGTATCCTTACATTTTTGTGTCCATTTAGTCCCCATGAATACATTCGAATAGATGCAGAGAACCACATTCATATACATTTTCTGTATGCCACATGTCCACATTTTATCCTGCTTTCCTAATCTCTCCCATGATCACACATGCAGAATCACTGTGCTCAGTAGAAAGTAGGGGGGGGAGGGGGGGTCGCACGTTTGATTAATTTACTTATCTAAATTATATTTTATTCTAGAGCTATTGAACTCTGTGGAAATTATATATATATATA